CAAAAAAAAAATCCCAAAAAAAAAAAAAAAAAAGGAAAGAAACAGACCTCGGAGTGCCACAGACTGTGTGGTGCACTCCCGCCCCGACCTCAGAGGTGGAAGCCCCCATTCCTGGTGTGGCCATATTCGGTAGGGGAGTAATCACGGTTAGGAGGTGGAGAAGTGGGGCCCTGATCTGGCTGGATTTGCCCCTTATGAGAGGAGTCCCAGAAGGCTCCCGCCCTCTTTCTCTGCCATATGAATGCACAGGGAGAAGGCGCTGTCTACCAGGCGGGAAGAGGCTGTCCTCAGAACCTGAGCCTACTGGCACCGTGGTCCCAGCCTCCCAGCCTCCAAACCCAGAGACACACGAGCTGTTGAAGCCTCCCTGCCAACGGCAGCCCCAGCTAAGACACAGAGGGCTGGGCCTGGACTTGGCTTCCTAGGCCGATGTTCTAGCACTCGGGAGAAGCGCTTCCAGCACCTCCTGTGCGCCCGCATTTCTCCCTGACCCGGTCATCAGGTGCCCTGGAGTGCCTCTGCGTGCCCCTCTCCAGCAGGCCAACCCCTTCCCCTCGAGGCTCTCAGCGCCCTGTGCACTACTTAGCCGTTCAGTGCCAGGCACGGGGCGGGGCGGGCGGGCGCTTTCCCGGCCACCTGGACAGCGATTCTGGGTCTGACCATGGGAAGGATAGTGGCTGGCAGTTTGCTGCAGTGTGCGGGGTCATGAGCTGCCTCAGCCTGTGTCCAAGAGAAGAACCCACCCACCCAGCTCTCCAGGTGTGAGGCTGGGAAGGGAGCAGGGCACTGGGCCTCCAGCCACCAGGCTGGAAGGAAGTGGGGACAGGGTTGAGAAAACTGGCAGGCACTCACCTGTCCCCAGACTAGCTCCCCGACACCAACGAACAGGCACCAGAGCCACTGTTCCGTGGACAAGGGCGAGCAGCTGAAGGGCTTCCCGCCGAACTGCACGATGACGATCTGCAGGGATGGCGGGGTGCACCTCTAGCAGTGGAGGCCTGCCAGAGGGCTGCCCACGCCGCCACCGCTGTCCTCCGTGGAGGCCTGCCAGAGGGCTATGGTCCCCTCTTCCCTCACAGGCAGGCTGACCCCCACTGCCCCTCTCAGCACCAGGTGCCCACACGCCTACTGCTCGGATGGCAGCCCTGCACATGCCTGGGTTGTGCCTTGGCCTCCCCTCGGGGCAAGACTTCAGAAGCCTGCCCAATCCAAAGCCCGTGCCCCACCGCCCACCACGGGCTGTGGCCATCCCCTGCCCTAGGCAGCCCGCAGTGCTCCCCGCCTGCCCCGTCATGTGGGCCTGCGTGGTGTGGTCTGTCCCCTTGGGACCTGCAGTTGCCTCTGCTCCACTGGCCTCACAAGACCCTACACTTTCCACTGGTAGACCCTATGGGATGTCAAAATGGGGAAATGGAATTCAAATATCTGTTTATTTTGGTGCCGACATTTGAAATCTACGTGTGCGTCTGTCTTTCTTTCTTTGCGAGGTTTTTGTGTATTTTTCACAATAAGCCTTTTACCTGAGGTACTGGATTGGCGGAAAAGTCAGGACATATTTTTTCTGTTATTCTATGAAAAGCGCATAGACTTTTCCGACAGGCAATACCTGACACCTTGCACTTGCGCACGCTTAGCCGGCCCACTGCCACTGAGCTGACCAGCCCGCCGGGGGGAGGCTGGGGGCTGTCAGCAGGGGCGAGAGGCGGCCTGGCTCAAAGAGCTCAGTGCTACGAAGGGGCGTGGCAGCCCGAGCAGGCAGGCAGGGG